TAAACCCAAGATAAGTATGCTAGAAAAAAAAAATGCAGAAAACTTTACTAATTGAAAGTGCCAAGGGAAGAGTTGGATAGCAGAATTCAATTAATTGAGATAACGTCTGTTTTGAACAGAAGAGTTAATATCTCGTACTTGCATAAAAACTGAACAAAAAACCCAGAGGGTATCCAAAACACTTCCCAGCAGTGCAATTGCAGGTTTGGTGTCTCATCTAGTAAAGCTATTCTTCGCTTCTTCTCAAAATATTTCATAGCACAAAAAGTTTGGGGTTTTTGGCAAACCAGTAATCTAATCTGGTCCGGTCACTGGGCTAAACTCTGCCTACACAAAGGTGCACAACACCTTGAGAGGAACTAGAGGAAAGGAAAATAAGATGTCTAGCTGTTTTCCTGACCTGCTTAGGACCACAACAGCGAGTCACATCGTGTAGGGCCTGACCAACAAGTTGACTTTGGTGGTTGTCATCTGCTCCCTGCTCGGTGTTGCAGCTAAGCAGGGACGGTAACGCCAGGAGAGCTGACAAGGGCACGGGGCAGCATCCGAGCAGCCTGAGCCATGCTTTGACACGCAGAGCTTCTACAGTTCTCATTTGAGCTACAGCGAGCTTCGCTGCCAAAGGAGCTCTCCCGGCTCAGCCCTTTTGTTATTGTCGTTTCTGCTGGCGTTACACAACAAAGCAAGATCCACAGCGCAAGTTCTTGGGGAAATAAAGGCCACGATGTTTGCGTAATGCGTGTGGCATTTGTAGTGATATACTGAAAATAAGAAATGCTTCGTTTCTTAACTGAGCGTAGCAAATACTGAACAGGTCCTCGGATTCAAAAGAAAGATGTAACCTGACATAAAGGAAATTTGTGGGATGGGTTGAGATGAGTAATTTTATTACAGTGAACAATCTCGGGCCCAGGACTCTGCAGCACACACGCATTAAAATAGCCTCCCTGAAAAAGATTTTCATCTAAATAGGAAATGCAGGCAAAGGCTGCTGAAACCACTATTTTTAGCCCCACTTTGCAGAAAGGGAAGTATGGCTACAGAAGATGAAGTGACTTACCTGGAGTCTAGCAAGAATCTTATGATTAGCTAAGGACTGAATTTTGATCTTTTGAGTCTCCAACCACATGCTCTAGCCATACAGACCTTGTCTTATATACCTTGTGTATCTTTTACCCCATCTAAGAAGCATGACACGAGGCACAGTCGCAGAATCCACTTGTTCACACTGCTGATAGCTGGGACCAGATCTCAAAGATGGAAGAGGCAGGGAAAGCCCAACTTTTCTTGACTGTACTCAGCATTTGAAAGAAAAGTCCCCATCCAGCACCATCCTATATGGAGACTTGAGTTTAAACCTAAAGCTTGGTGTCCCAAGAAAAATGGAGGCTTTGAGGGACTGCATGAAGTAGCTGCCTGGTGTCTGCTGGGGGAAAGACATTAATTTAACTCAGCTGCTTTCTTTCTCATGGATCTGCTAATTCAAAGCAAGGCTCCCATCAAACTCTGTGGGATTTCTTCCTACCTCTTTCCATGCAGAAAGGCTGGGTTGCATCCCTGTATCTCAAAAGGAACAGCTTTGCTGAAGTCATGACTGTCTTGTGACCTTCCTTCCAAATCCTCTTTTTCCTCCATAAAGCATCCAGAGCAGATGACAACCATGCCAAGTAAGTTTGATCCCTTCTCTGACTGAAAGCAATGCCTACATCACCAACATTCCCCTTACCTCTGTCTGGTCTGTGCACGAGCCCACACGTGTCTGCACAAGCAGTAAAAAGATTGATTGAGGTACAACAGCATGGACCAGCTCACCTTTAAGCAAGGTCCATATCTGGCTCCCATCTGCTGTTGGCTGAGGCCACAGGAGGAAGAAAGCAAGCCACAGGAGGTAATCCAACGCAGCCCCTGCCACCAAGAGGACCCTTGAAGGCTGTCCACAGCTGTAGTCACTTTCCTACAAGCAAGCAATGCCCTGTAGTACACACACAGAGCGCTCTGTGTAAGAAAGCGACTGTTACAAAATCATCAGATAAAATTCATTCGCTGTAGTACACACACAGAGCGCTCTGTGTAAGCAAGTGACTGTTACAAAATCAGATGAAATTCATTCGTCCTTTCCGCGTTAATGACCTGATAAAAAAGCCAGAACTCATCCATATATGACCAGCTATGGGCTGAAGATCAGGTAGGAAACATGCTGGAAATTGCATCCAGACAGTGTTTTAGGAAACATGCTGGAAATTGCATCCAGACAGCATTTTGTTATTGAAGGCTGTCCACAGCTGTAGTCACTTTCCTACAAGCAAGCAATGCCCTGTAGTACACACACAGAGCGCTCTGTGTAAGAAAGCGACTGTTACAAAATCATCAGATAAAATTCATTCGCCCTTTCCGCGTTAATGACCTGATAAAAAAGCCAGAACTCATCCATATATGACCAGCTATGGGCTGAAGATCAGGTAGGAAACATGCTGGAAATTGCATCCAGACAGTGTTTTTACTTCCAAGTGCAGATTTTAGCTGCAGGGCAGAGAAGTGACACATCCCTCATTTAGGTAATTATACAGGAGGTATTGCACGCAAGTTTGAAAAGTAACTGAAGTCACCAAAATCTCCTTCCAAAACCACAGGAAAGGGACTAGCATGAGGTAGCACAGTTGGTATCTGGACAAATCTGCTAGCTCCAGAGAAGTGTGAGAGACAGACAAAAACTGAAGTCACCAAAATCTCCTTCCAAAACCACAGGAAAGGGACTAGCATGAGGTAGCACAGTTGGTATCTGGACAAATCTGCTGTTCCAGAGGAGTGTGAGAGACGGACAAGCCAACAAAATGCATCCTTTGTTGCCCTCTACTGTTTGCTTGCTCCAGATGCAAAGCAAATTTTCTCCTTACCTTCTCCCCTGCGAAGCACATTGCAGTCACAGACAACAGGAGCCAAGCAGCATGATGGTATATGATGTCATGGAGGGAAAAGCTGGAACCAAGGAGAGGTTTCTGCATTAGGAGTTCCCTAAAGCCAACCCAACAGCCTGCAGTAGCACAACGCGCAGAAGCAGAGGGCACCTTTCAGCAGGAAGCGACGCAGCCAGGTGATGGGAGGCAGGGGGAGAACTCAGCAGCCCCAAAAGCCAGGGCCACCATCTAAGTGCTAGACTGTGCCAGACTCTGTGAGCCCAGACCAACGCCGGCATAACTTTCCAGGCTGGATTAGCGACCCTTCACTAGCCCAGTATGTGCAGACAGGATTTTCACACATCGAGGAAAACGGAACAGTTTCAAAGCTTGGCAATTACACTAGTGCTGCTTGTTACGACTTTACTTCTGGAAACATTAAGAATAATTAGAAAAATGAGGAACTGACAGCACTAACAGATACCCCAGCATCAGCACAGAGAAAGGTACTGAGTCCCATTTATCCTCAGTTGGTAAGAACCACCCTTTGTTCCAGAGTTTTGCAAGTTGTGGCAAGTTTTCTGAGGTGCAGTAGGTGGATGCAGCACGCCAGCTACCACCAGCTCCCTCGACTGAATTAATTGTGCATCAGTGCAGACACACCTGAACTGGCTGTGACAGGCAGCTCAGAAGCATCACGTGTTGTTCACATACAGCTCCCTGCAGGACTTGCCACTCCAGCTCAGTGCTCCAGGTGACCACAATGGTGACCCTCATCCCCTCAGACAGCCCTCAATGTTCTAACTGCTATTATTTTTGCCTATATGCTATTAGCTGTGGTTTTGCTTTATTATATATTTCCTATTAGCCTACAAAATCGAGAGTTGACTTCACACCTTGTTGGCAGTTTCTACTGAAGGGTTTATTCCTGACTACACAAAATACTGACCACCTCCTCTCTATCATTCAGAAAAAAAAACTGAACAGGCACTCCAGGGATGGGGAAAAGAAAAATAATAAAAATCAATGCTGATAGGAAGCGGTGAAAAAGCAAAGCAAAATCTAAACCCTACCCTCTCCAAGCCTGTAAAACTCCAGCAGGAAGAAATATCACACACTGCCTGTAACAGGCTGGAGCAAAAGACACATGCAAGCAAAGCGACTCTTGGGAATCTTACTGTAAACAGGAGACTGTGTACACCCAACACACCGCAAAGGAACAGCTAATCCCTGGAAAAATGTTAAAGACAGAGTGGTGCTTCTGCCAACATCTGCACTTGTTACTTGCTTAAGCAACTCTGCCTCCCATTCATGAAGCAGACAACTCCCATGAGGCTCCCTGCTCTTTGCTTTCAGGGAACAAAAAAAAAAAAAAAAAAAGAAAAAAGCTATGAATACAAACCAGTCTGTGAAAACAGTAAGTCCTTTGTGAAGCTGAAAGGTTGCCCAGGTGCCTGTTACACAGGAGCAGCTCTGGAGGAAGGTTCCACAATCTCTTTGGGGACCATCTGATCCTGACTGTCCTTTGTCTTGCAAGGGATTCCCTATTGATAGGAACCTTCTTTCTGGGAAATGCCATGGGATGTGCACGCTTGTGTGGTCAATATGTAGTTAAGAAACGTTGCCCTCCAGTAGATAACACCCTGCCATCCTGCTCAAACTCAGCAAGAGTTGAGCTATTCCCAACTATAACACTACCCTTAATGCTGTTAGAAACATACAAGAAAAAAAAACTCACACTTGAACCCCATAAAAAAATCCTACTGCTCCCCACATAAAACCAAACTCCAGTCTGACAGGGAAGGACCTGCTGTACAAAATCACTGCATTCTTGTAGCTTCTTGGCCCACAGAGAATTGTGTCAGTTCAGCAGCACCACAGAAAAGGACCAGTTGCAGCCCCTGTTTGTCTGCTCCATACACAGCCAGAATCACACAACCTCAGCTGAGCAATCAAGGTCAGATGGAAACACATTGGCATGCAACGGTTGGACACACCAGCACTATATGATGCCTTCTCCTAAGGTCTCATGCAGTAGAGAAGCCAGGAATGAACTCAGTTGCTTTATTATTTTCACATCAACAGGAAATATAACTTGAATACAGATATTTTTAAAACTAGATTTAATCAAGTGCATTTAGAAGAGAATTCACAATTTTCTGTACACAAATACAAGTATCTTCAATAGAAATTCCTTACATAAGATTAAAACTTGAGATGTGGTACAAATGAGCAGCAAAAAAAAAAAAATCCCCCCCTCCCCACACACTCAAGTCCGCAGAGATAACAATATGCCTGAGAAATACCTAAGTCAAAGCTCTTTTGCAAAGCCAGAAACATGAGAGAACAGAGTGCAAGCATAGATTTTTTTACCAAATGGCTACTTAGCAAAGTTACAAAGTGCCCTAATAACATCTTAACAGCCACAGCTGGTGGCCTCATTATTAGGAAGCATTTGCTAAAGATGCTGGCTTCAGCTTTAAGGCTCTTTCCCTACCCCTGCACTGCTGGCAGAAGGGGCTTTTCCTTCTCCACACATCTACCACCTCCTTGAACACAAGGTGACAAAAATTTTGTGTCACCACAACTGCTCCCCCAGATTTTGAGCAGGATCCATGTTTATTTTCCTCTCTACACTCTTAATATGGGGACAGACACTGCAGTATGCTGGAAGGTTACCACGCACCTGCCCATCACCAACAGCTTGCCAGCAGAAGAGAGCAGTGGTCCCAGGACTCGGCCACAGAGATCAAGTGTGCTTGCACAAGCACGTGGAACTCACCAACCCAGCCCATTTTCAGTATTAAGACAAAAAAAGGATGAGACAGGTGTTTTACCAACCTGCTTGTTTACAGTGAAGCAAATTTACGCTGGAAGAAATCTCATCATCTGCTCCATGGGTGATGAAATTGTCACAGAGAATAGCTGAGGGCAGACTGGAAAGGAAGAACAGTAAATTCCTCCTCTAGAACAACCAAATCCAGAAGAAAATGCCTGGCAACACCCCCAGCTACTAAAACTACCCTGACAGAACTGGACAATTCAGGTCAGGCCTGACAAAAGGGCAGGGCTACAGCCTTTCTGTTGGTCCTCTCTCCACTAGCAGATATCAATGTGCTTCATTTTGGGGACTGAGTTTATTACTGAAAAGATAAAAACCCAGGCCTGGAATTTAATTGTTCTAAGAAATTCAACATGTTAATAGGGCGATTTTCGCATCCTACTTTCAAGTCACAAGTCAGATTGCTATCTTCATGAAGTATCTTATCACTGGTTTTGTTGGGTTTGTGTTTAGAAACGTTATTACATTAAAAAAAAAACCCTTCAATAATAACAGGTCCATAAAATTTGTCTCCTCCTGTTTTAACAACTAGAAAGAACTTGAATGCACCATAAAACATTCAAATGTATTTTCAAAGTTCTTATTGCTTCACCAAACACTAAGGTTTAGTACACAGGTTTGAAGAACCAAAGTTCTTAGATATGAGCTGTCATCACTCTAATACTTTTATAATAAGTCTCACTAACAGTTCCAGGTAACACTATCAACAAGAGTAAATTTACAAATGTACGGTAGTGCATGAAATAAGGAAGCTCACTAAAACACACAAGAAATCCTCAGCAGGAAGTACAGAAGGAAAAAGCCTACTATTGTCGTGGGTTGTGCAAATTCCTGCAAACTCTTCACAGCCAGAAATGCAATAAGGGCATGACATGACTATCTACTTTAAGAACCTGAAATTCTTTTGACTTTGTTTTGGAAATGCAATAAGGGCATGACATGACTATCTACTTTAAGAACCTGAAATTCTTTTGACTTCGGTTTTTTTTTTTTTATAAGCTGTCTCTTTATAAAAAGAGACACATGTTTATATGCATTGTGGTGTAAATCACACTGCTGTTTCACTTGAAGCTGAAATGCACATTTATGTATCAATATACTGATGCGGTATATTTTACCTCGGAAAAAATATACATAGCATGGATTCTGAGCAGTTTCTACAGAGGGAACCTACCCCAGGGACTCCTTGGAGTCCCCTGTGCAATAAATACCATGTAAACCTGACATCGCAGTCTTAAGCAGGACTCAAATACTGTAGGGGGCTTGCAAAGTCCTTTTGTTCTACAGGGATTTTTAGCTGGGGAATAACACCAGATCAGGGGATCGACCAGGTCAGCAAGTACCAATCAAGGATTTCAAAACTAGAGGGACATCTCAGAAATACCGTATGCTAAACAAAGCTAAATATGCTTCATTACAGGTATCAGTCTCAAGCTATTTTCACAACAGACAGAAGTTCACAGCAGAGACGAAGAGGTTATTGGCTTTAAGAATAAGTATTTCAGTAGAACTTACCATTACACCATTTCTGAATACAAAGAAAATTAGCAATCAATTTAAGACATTTGAATTTCACCCAGCTGATACTTCATTCCATTCATCAGATGTGGGGTTTTTTTTTGTCCTGCTTCAATTTCTCTTTCTACGATGCCCTCTTACATGGTAAGTTGAAACACAAACATAAAATGAGAAATCTGGGCTCTATTGGCTTTAGTGTTTGAATTAAATGCACCCGCCTTCAGGCCTTTTATCAAAGGAACTGGATGCAAATTTACAAACAAGCATGAAAGATCTCGGAAAGAGAGATTCAGGAGTACAGACTTGGAGAAAACTCATGCTGTGTTTTGTGCCATCAGAACAACAGAAATTAAAATTACAATTAATCAGATGCATTTTCTAAAACATCAGAGTAATACCTGCAGATAAACGTAAAATGGCACAGGGCAGCCCTCTACAACTGCGTTCAGGGAAAACAAATTCTAGTCACAGAAACGCCCCCAAAATAATGAAATGTCATTATGAAAAAGTCTCCATGAGTTTGTCAGTGGCTTAATTTCACAGGTTCCTAGCCATTCCTGTGTTGAACGTAAGGCCTCAATCCCTCAGGTAATATATTTATGTAATAATTTATCAAAATATTATTAGGCTAAGATTTTCAAAGTTACTTTTAGAATTGGTTTACCTTTATTTCCACAAGCCATACCAGTCACACACACAAGCACACAACCACGCAGTTCTTTACTCGCACATCTCCCTGTAGTGACTCATGGCCATATTGGTCTGTTAGATTTCCAAAGCAGTCTCTATGGATTAATCACAACTACCGTCTTTCCAACCATCCCGCCAGCGTTCATCCACACGAGAGCAGTCAAATTCAGATTTCCCCAGTTTCCTGTTCACTTCATTATGAAGAAGACACAACCACTGGGAGAAGTTATTTCTGTTGCTAGTATCAGGCTGATTTGTACGCAATCTGCAAACAGGGAAGAGGAAAAAAATGTTACTTTTTTACAGCCACCAACTTCAATACCCAAAGCGGGCACGTAGCACACAGACAGCCAGAGTCGTCTTTTCTGCTACTGAGTCCTGAGAGAGTCCTAAAGAGAATCCAGAAGAAAGCACACAGAGATCAGCAATTATCAGAGGCCAAACCTCCCCTACAAAATACCAATGGCTGCAGTTGGCTTTAGTTTCATTCACTGCCTCATCTGGTCAACTGGAAAACACAGGAGTCAAACAGCTTATCTATGATAAAAAGCAGTAAGTACTTGAGCTCATGGAAAACAGCAAATAATTAATAATTGAAAAAAAATATGAAAAAACACTGAGCATTTGTTTTGCCACGTGATGCCTGCTAAGTCAATAATTAGGTTTCAGACTTTTTTGGTGTGTATTCATCATCCAGAAAAAAGGAGTTGAAATTTTGAGAAAAAAGTCGACAGTAACAGGAATAGAAAACTTTACTAAACATCACAGTCCATTTCAGTTTCTGCCTCCACTGCTGAGGTTGCCAATAAAGGGGCTTTTGGGGGGTAGAAAAACACTTGCCTCCTGAAAGCCTAATTACTTCAAGTCCCAGTGTAATTTCACAACTAAGCACAACTCCAGTTTGAACCAGAAAATCCCAAAATCACCTCAGGGATGTCTTGGAGGCAGCACGCAATCAAACAGCATGAGAAAAGGTATTTGTTTTCTGAGTGAATGTATCTCCGATTGATGCAATAATGGAAGAAATCACTTCAGGTAGCTACAAACCCCAACGGCAGGAAGAGCTGCTGATATGCAAATAGCTGCATTTCAGGCTAGCCCCTTCAACAGCAGCCATCAAAAAAAAATCAAAACCCCAAGGATGAGGCAACTCACCTTTCCCTCAGATCCTCAGCGCAGTGCTCGCAGGGGTAAAACTTGGAGAAAAGGTTGATGAACTCTCTCATCTCCTTCTGCTGGGCACCGGTGGGGCGGTCGGGGTAGTAGGCTGCCATGGTGTGCAGGAAGGCCCAGGTGCTGCGGCCCAGCTGCTCGCTGTCGAGGGGACAGTTCGGCGGTGGCCCTCTCTCCTCGGCAACTGTCTCGTCCTGGAGCAGGAGAGAGGGTTGTGTGAGGGGGATGCCAGCGCTCGGTGTGAAAACAGCCCCTTTGCGCTCAGGTGGGAGGGGGAGATGGGGGAACACAGGCCCTTCACAGCCTCTGTGGGGGATAACGACAGAGCCGCCCTTCACACCCGGGGGGGAGAAGATGGAGGCCCCCCTCACACCCCCACACAGGGGTAACCCTCCCCCTGGCTCCTTCACACCCTCAGGAGGCGGCCACACAGCCCCATCACACTTGGGGGGACAGGACAGAGATCCGTTCCACATTTCTGTGGGGGCTGGACGTACCACAGCCCCCCCAGGTCCCCAGAGATAACAGCGGGGGTTCCCCACGCCCCCCAGTCTCCCCGGAGAAACCGCCGCCTCACCCCGCCGCCGCCCGGGGCCGCCCGCTTCCTCTGCTGTTGGAACCAGCTCTTGAAATCCGTGCAGGCTCGGCAAGGCTTCTTGGACTGCTCCTCCGCCCCGGAGCCCGCGGCGCCGTGCGCGCCGGTGAAGGGGCCGCTCTCGGTACCCGAGAACGGCGGAGCGCCGCGACACTGCCGGTCCTCCCTGGGCGCCGCCATCTTGGCGCCGCGGTACACCACGGGTCGGGGAGGCCGTGGCGGGAGGCCGCCATTTGAATCGTCCCCGGTTCCCCTCTGGAGGGAGCAGCGCGGGGGGCCGAGGCCGGGGACGGCACCGAGGCCTCGGGAGGGGCGGGAGGGCCTCGCTGTACCCCCGGCCGGGCTCTGGCTTCAGGGACGGGGCCCTTCCTGTGTGCAGATGAGGAGGCTCGGCCCGGGCGTTCACTGTTAAACACCGAAGTGCACGTTTCTGATGGTTTTTTTCCCAATACAGCAGCAGGCTCTGGGTTTTAACGGTGTGGTTGAGGAGAACTGGGTGGGTTTTCCTTCACACAGCGCAGTGATGTGGGCCTTCTGCCAGTGATTGTCCACCTGGCATCTCTGTGTGTGTGTGTATATATATATATATATACACATTGTGTGTGGCAAAGCTCATGGCACAGAGCAGCTCTCCTACATGCCAGCAGTGGCAAAGGGCACCTCAGCCTTATCTCCAGCACAGAGATACAGTCAACAGCGTGATTTAAAGAACAAACAACAGGCCGAGAGAGTTGGAGAAGCTCGGCCTGGGGAAGAGAAGGCTCCAGGGAGACATTATTGTGGCCTTTGAGTACTTAAAGGGGGCTTATAAGAAAGATGGGGACAAGCATTTTAGCAGGGCCTGCCGTAGGACAAGGGGTAATGGTTTTAAACTAAAAGAGTGTAGATTTAGACTAGATCTAAGGAAGAAATGTTTCACCATGAGAGTGGTGAGACACTGGCCCAGGTTGCCCAGAGAGGTGGGAGATGCCCCAACCCTGGAAACATTCATGGTCAGGTTGACTGGGGCTCAGAGCAACCTGCTCTTGTTCAAGATGCCCCTGCTCACTGACAGGGGGTTGGACTAGGTGACCTTGAAAGGTCCCTTCCAACCCCAAACCATTCTGTGATAACTCAATTCCAACTTGTACACCTATAGCAGAACACACCCATACATGTTTTAACACCCAGGTTGTAAAACCGTATTGAGGAACGATTTATTTTTATTTTTGTTCTGAGAGAGTTTGCACCTTTTACACAAGGGCAGGTACATCAAAGAAGCAAGGCCTCGCCTATGGCTGAGTGCAGCTGGGGTGAAAGAGAGCCCAGGACTTGCCCCAGGTCTTTGGTCTTCAGCAGACATTCAGCAGTTCTCCTGCTCTTCTTTTGCTCCTGGTGAGCCACAGGTTTTGCGAGCATGTGAGGATGGTGACCCAGCTCTGGTTGAACCTGGGTGATGATCTAGCACTGCGTCAGTTTCAGAGCTGGGGCTCTCACCCCTTGGAAAGGTTAATTCACTGCAGCTTGGCTCCTTGCTAAAAGTGCAGATAAAGCTTTTGACCGATTTCACCACCTGAAGTGCGAGGTTAGTTCTTGATGGGCATCAGAAGATGAAAAGTTGGAGGGCAGCACAGATTTGCTCTTTTCCTTCCTTTTGGCTTGATGTTGTCATGGCATTAGAGGATAAGTCTCCCTCTGTGGAGAATGCACTCTAGAATGTGAATTTTCTATCCATTTCCACTTTTCACCTCTTCATGCCCTGCAGAACATGTGAAAAATACGATTATTTTGTTTAATACAAACAAATGCATGGCCTGGATGGAGAAGAACTAAAATATCATCTTAAGAAATCTCATCTTGGCTGGCTGGGGTAGGTTTTTGCCTCCCCTCCCTCTTTCTCTTCCCCTTCAGGGAGCACCAGCCCTTTTCCTGTCCCTTCAGGCAGTCACGGCCTGGGAGCCCTCTTAGCAGCTCCTGCCCCTGCAAAGAGCTGTGTTTCTTCACATCCTATTCCTTCCAGGATGTTCCGTAGCCTGTTTGAAATGCAGCTTGAGTCTTTTGCCTGATTTTAAGTGCTGTCGTGTCGCCAATTCTGCCAAGACACAATTTGTATGAAAGTTGCTGGAAAAATACTGCTCATTTTCAGCTGTTACCCCCTGATATATTTAACGCAGCATAGTGTAAAATGTTTAGTAGGCAATGCGTCATTTTAGAGAAATACTTCAAAGACTTGCCCTCAAAAATATTTAACAACTTAGAGTGCTTTACATGGAAATGGCTCATCTGTTTCCTGGTCTGTGTAGAACTGAGCTGACGATCTGGATTTCCATCTTTAGGCCTCCTGTTTACCAGTGCTCCTTACTTTTTTTATTTGCAATTTCGTGAGAACATTTATTTACTGATATTGGTGAGGGAGAGAGAAGAGACAAGAGTAACTGATAGGATCTACTGAAATGGCTTTGTCTAAAGTTATAGACAGCTATATATCTAAATTTTACACACGAAGGAAAGATGAAGTAGGGGAATAGACATTCTTTATGTTTGTTTTCTTTACCCACCAATAAATATTTAAATGATGTTGCTGACATTCATTTTTTATTTTTTAATTGAGGAAAAAAAGGTATGCTGGTTTCTGGAAGAGGGACCCGGGGAATTTCCTACAGTGTTTTATTGCTTAGCCTTCAAGCAATTAAATAGTTGCAGAGATGTTTCTAATTCAAAGCAATCTCCTTGTTCAATGTTAATAGTCTGTTTGCTTTCTTGTTAGTGATTTCGTTTATTGAGGTCGTTAAAATATAAGCATGTTTTACTTTTATTTAAAAGGGTAAAGTTCATAACCTGGAAAGAAGCTGTTGCTTACAGAGGGATTTGTCAAGAAGGTGTCAAGAGGATGGGGTCAGGCTCTTCTCAGTGGTGCCCTGTGACAGGACAAGGGGCAATGGACACAAGCTGGAACACAGGAAATTCCATCTCAACATGAGGAAAAACTTCTTTCCTGTGAGGGTGCAAAACAGGCTGCCTGGAGAGGGTGAGGTGTCTCCTTCTACATAGATATTCAAAACCCTCCTGGGTGCGTTCCTGTCTAGACTTCTCTGGGTGACCCTGCTTTGGCGGGGGCTTGGACTAGATGATCTCCAGAGGTCCCTTCCAACCCCAGCCATTCTGCCATTCTGTGATTTGGGCTCAGTGTTGCTCCCCCTACCCCTTTTCTGGTTGGCTGTAAGAGCAGAGCTGGCTCTTTAGGAAAAGGTGCTCCCCATTTTCTCCCTTTGCTCTCATGGTCAGCGTTATCTAGTTTCAAAGCAGGCAAGGAAAAAAAAAATAGGGAGACGCTCAGATTCGAATCAGAGAGAGGAAATCCACTTTCCTGTCTCTAATTGAATCCGAGTGCAGAGCCTAATTAATACCGACACATGAGCTTGGTGGGATGGAGCTCTGGGGGCAAAGGAACCCGTGGTGAGTCCCAGCCAGCCAGCATGGTGCATGCTCCCACCCAGCCCTCTGTGGTGCAGGAGCTGGTGGTGGGGTAGAGCCTGTCACCAAACGAGGTCCTAACGAAGACCCCTCCTAAAAGCAGCTGCTTCCTGGGGGCAGGGAGCAGAGCACGGCTCTGTCCCGTGCTGCCCAGACAAGGCTTCCTCCATCCATGGTCCAGGTGCCTGTTGACACCTTGCAGTGCTCCTGGGCACGGGCACTGCCAACAAAGCACCTATTTTTCAATTACTTATGTCTGTGAGACCGGGCTCACTGAAGTTTGCTGCATCGGTGCCTCTTCCAAACAGCTGCGCAAGCTGTGACTGGAATAGGGTAACCTGCAGGATGGCACTGACGGTAATTACCAGGAAGCATTAGCAAAACCCGCGCTCGAGCAGATGAAAAGGGTGTGTTTGCATTTCTCAGAGGAAGACTTCTGTTTGATCTTCTGCTATTATCTTGGCACTCGATAAGCAAGAGCTTGGGAACTGGCAGCTGGCAGTGGGCGCATGTGGATGGAAGAAGAAATGGGCTGGCAACGGGAGATGACCCGAATTTGAGGCCAGATACGCATCCTTCTGCTCGCTCTCTAGCAAGAGGTTGGCACCTGGGGACAGACACCCCCCTAGGGATGGACACCTCCCTGGTGACGGACACCTTTTGGGGATGGACCCTTCCCTGGTCCTCTGAGCCGTGTGGCACCGCAGCCAGAAAGTCAAGTCAGGATGGGCAAAACGCGTGGCACAGGCATACCCAGACCAGGCTTCGGATGAGGACAAAGGCCTGAGCTTAAGAACAGGTCTTGAGGAAAGGAGGGGTGACCCCAAGAATCCGTCTTGAGGAAAGGAGGGGTGACCCCAAGAAGAGGTGGTCCCAAGGAAGGGTGGTCCCAAGGAGAGGTGGCCCCAGGGAATTGTGGCCCCAAGGAGAGGAAGCCCCAAGGAGAGGTGGCCCCAGGGAATTGTGGCCCCAAGGAGAGGAAGCCCCAAGGAAGGGTGGCCCCAAGGAGGGGTGGTCTGAAGGAGGGGTGACCCCAAGGAGAGGAAGCCCCAAGGAGAGGTGGTCCCAAGGAGGGGTGACCCCAAGGAGAGGTGGCCCCAGGGAAGGGTGGTCCCAAAGAGGGGTGATCCCGAGGAGGGGTGGTCCCAAGGAAGGGTGGCCCCAAGGATGCTTCACACAGCTCTTTTCCCAGCAGTGTAGCCCCAGGCTACAGCAGAGTGCTTATTATGTATGGATATGATTATATCTGCAGAAAGACTGCTAATTTTCAAGGATAGTGGGCATCCCAAGGAAGGGTGGCCCCAAGGATGCTTCACACAGCTCTTTTCCCAGCAGTGTAGCCCCAGGCTACAGCAGAGTGCTTATTATGTATGGATATGATTATATCTGCAGAAAGGCTGCTAATTTTCAGGGATAGCGGGATTAATGACCAGAGAGGACAAAACTCTGCACAGCCCACTTTCTAGGATGCAATGGGATCTTAAAGTGTAATCACCAGCAGAGCCAGTGAGCCTGGACTGCCTGCTGGGATGTGTTTCTCTCCAGTACTGCAGTAAAATTTAGATTTTGACAAGAGAACAAGGAATAATACTCACAAAGCCGCATTCTTCATTTGGGAACATAAACACCACTGACTTTTCATTAATTTATTACTATGCATTTATTTTAAGTTCTTTGGAATTGAGATTCTTACCGTGTTTTTTGTGATGGTTTTATAGACACCTCCA